GTGGGTGGCGTCGTTCGGAAGCGGAGCTGGTGGCCCCTGGTTGGCAAGGGGGCTGCAGAAACGCCCCTTGCAGCAGCAGCTTTGGGGCGATTCATGGCTAGGTGAGGGTCAAGAAGCAAAAGAAGCAGTTTAATACGCCGTAGGGACAAAGCATTTGCATTGAGATCGGGAATCACCCCCCTGAGCCGCTCTGCAGGGCGTTGCAACCTCACTTAGCTGCCAAGGATGCCCCGGATTGCCCGGCACCGGTTCACACAGTAAATACCCAGGACGCAGCCTTCCCGGAGGCGCCCGCTGTGCACCCTTTACAGCTGGGGAGCAAAGCCTAATTCAGTCCTGCTGCGTCTCCCAAAACCACACCTTTCAGCCCTGCTGGCCTGCTCCAAACCCCAGCTGCGACTGCCCCAAGACGCCTTTGTCATCGGGAGACGGAGCATTTCTAAAGGCGGCCGACCCCTGCAGCTGTCATCAGCAGCGCAGCCAGCGGCGACAGGGCTGGGACAAGGGGTGGCACGGCCAGCAAACCCACGTTGCACAACAGGAGCACAAACACCGCAGTGGTGGGGGGGGTGTAAATGGGATGCTGCAGGCTGGCTGCAGGGTGTGCATCTCCTACAGCGCGTGGGTTTGCACGGAAACCAGAGAGGAGGAAAGCCTGCAGCAGTGGGCAAACAGCAGTGATTTAAATTGCAGGTCCCAGACCCGCACCGGAGCAAATCGGAGCGGTGACAGCAGCTGCAGGGCCCCCAGCTACTGCTCTCCCCCTGCCAAGGCGGTTGTGTCCCTCCGACGCAGCCGAGACATGGCTAACCGAAGCGATGCTTGCACAGATTTCAGAGAGGGCTTTCCAGATGCTCAGCCCCTGCCGGCGTCCAAGCCTGCGCTAATTACAGAGGACACTGGGTGTTTATAGCACATGCTTTGAGCCCGCGGGGCACAGAGACGCTTTCCGGCCAGCCTGCGAACACTGGCTGCCGCCAAGTGATGTTTTCCTGAATGGCCGCGACTCTTCCCTCCCTCTCGTGCTCCGGCCTCGCCTCTCGGCCAGTCTCCCATGTCGGCGCGGGTCCCAGAGGCCGGCGTTGCACAACAGTGCTGTGCGGTGGCTCCCGGGCCGGGGAATAACGCATTCCACGTTTGGGGCAGCAGGGACTTTTTTTGCTTTGAGTATTGCCGCCTATTCGGGGAAGCGGAGGAGAGCTGGAAACAGCACCTCCCTCCTTGCTCACCCTCATCCTGCAGTCCCACCCTAAACAACCGTAACCCTGCAGCTGCTGCTGCCCTCACGCTGCCGGCTCCCCCAGGCATCTCTGGTCCTCTCCTGACTGAGTTGGGAAATTCCCCTCTCTCCGCACAGTCTCATTCCAGTTTCTGCTCCTCTCCCTAGCTCCGAGATGATTGTTTGGTTTTTTTTTTCCTCCTCCCCTTCGGGGATTTTCAACACTGCGATCGTAAATTGAGCCTCACGGTGAGGATGCTGAGCATCAGCTGCTCGTGACGTACAACCAGATCCCAGCAAGACTCTTCCTTGGAAAAGGGGAGAGAAGATCCATGGGGCGCTGACCCCAGGCAAGCTATAGACCTTGCTGCGGCACCGGGGAGGGGAATTAGCCGCAACCACCTTCAGCGATGTCTGAGGACCCGGCTGCGGAGGGACAAACTGCCCCAGGACACGGCTGGGGGCCCTCCCAAGGAGATTCACGGATTCCCAGCTGACTGTCCCAGCACCAGGACAAGCACAAAAAAATTCCCCAACAGCAAGTAAGGTGGTGGGAGAGAATAAATTCAATGAGACTGCTGCAGCCCCAGGGAGCCTGTGGGTCCCTCCAGCTGCTCACGCTGGTGATGCATAATTTATCTTCCTGCTTTGCAGCAACACCTTTAGACCGTGCAGGACAGATGACCTGCTCCCCATCCCTGCTTGCATACGCTGCGAGCGCTGGCAAGCTATTAAAGGTTGGGGGAGAAGGGGCAAAGACACTGAGAGGTGAACCACCCAAAGGTTACAGGTGGCTGTCAAGCCTGGCTCCATCTAATGCCCCGTGCTTTGGCCACCACAGCCCCAAGGGACAAACGTCCCTTTCCGAGCTCCAGGCAGTTGGCAAAAGGCAATTTTGCAGGGCAGAAGGGGTAACTTCAGCATTTTGCCACCCTAACCAGTGCCAAAGCAGGCAGGATAGTCCAGCATTTGAAGTACGTCATCCTAAGGAAAACCAGCGGCAAGCGGACAGGGCAGCTGAGGCACCCCTAGGCTGCAGACCTGCCCTCCCCAGAGCCATCAGAAGGGAAACTGCTCCGGAGAGCAGAAAAAGGAGCGTTCCCAAATGCCACGGCTTGGGCTGTGAGGTGATTTCTCCTCTGCCCACCGCACAGCCCCGCAAGCTTGCCCTGCGCTTTACCCTGTGCAGATAAGACAGGGAGAAACCCACAACTATTTGCTAACGCTGGCTGCAGACAGCTTAGGGTGAACCCAGGCATTGCAGTGGGGCTATAAACCCTGCTCCAGTCTTACGGCCGTAACCTCGGCTGCCCTCCAGCTTCCACCTCCTCCCCTCCCGGGCCCCTCCTCAGGGGACGGTGGCCGCCCCGACGCTGTCCCCAGCTCCCCGGGGAGTGCCGGTGGCCCAGGCCTTTTGCTCTGTATGGCTCTGAACACGCGCGATCCCTCCCTTGCTGCACCTCCCCAACAAGCACTGGCTCCTCCAGCCCATCACCGCAGCACCTGGTCCACAGGTTTGGCTGCACCCAGACTGGGACCGCGCTGGGGAAGGGACCCTTGACACAGCCGCGCTGCCGCAGGTCTCAGCCCTGCATGGTTTGGGCTGGAGAGGATGTCTAAAGGCATCCAGGCCATCCAACCACCCCATGCTCTGGGGATGGAGAAGGGTCTGCCTGCACCAAATTCCAAATTAACACAGGCACAAGGCTGGCCAGGGTCTGCCCTCTTCCTCCTCTTCTTCTTCTCAAGTGTTCAAAAAACGGGTAGATGTGGCACCTGGGGACATGGTTTAGTCTGGTCTACCCTTGATTGGCTTAGAGTAGACTTGGTAGTGTAGGTTAATGGTTGGACTGGATGATATTAAAGGTCTTTTCCAACCTAAATGATTCTATGATTCTATGATTCTTTATCCCCATCTCACTCCCTCATTTCTGCTTTGGACTCAGATCCCATCGGCAGCGGGGTCAAACTGGCCCAGCCTTGCCTGCGACAATCCTCATCACCTTCAACGCCAGCCTGGGGAAGACACAACCCCCCCTCAAGAGCTTCCAGATCTCCGATTCAATCTAAAAATAACAGCAGCACACCTTGTTCCCCTTCATTTAACCAGCAGCAAAGTCCACAGGAAGGCTATTTTTAATTTTCTTAGGTTAGGTTTTGTTAATCTAGTTAACGGTTTGCTAATGGGGTCGCTTACAAGTTAACTCCTGGGGAGAGCATGCACATCCCTGGCACTTGGCCGCGGCCAGGGTGCAAACACCCCGTGCAATCGCTGCTGCTGAATTTTCCGGCCTTTCCTGGGTAATTAACCGGTGCAAGTCAACACATTTCCCTCGTCAGCAACGGCTACACCAAACGGACTGCACCAACCAGCTACCGTGGGCTCGCATGTCCTCATACTCACCCAAAACATGGGTACATTTGGTGCATTATACCGTCTTTTTCTCCCTTTTTACGGAACACAGCTGCTAGTTTAAGAAAAGACGATCCAGGGACCTTCTCTTTCAGGGATCTGCTCGATCTTTGGGACAATTGGAAATTTAGGCATTTTTTCCTGCAAACACCTACCAGTTCTGATTTGCTGGAGGACGCAGGTGCTTTGGTGGCACCCTGTGACATTGGATGCCGTTTGCTCTCACTCACCACGTAAGGCAATGAGCACCACTTCCATTTTCCAAATTTTCAGATGCATCAACGATTTGACGTGACGTCCTGTTTGCAACGTCTCCTAGCAGAAGGCTGTTATTTTGGTTTGAACGCTATGCGAACGCCAGCCTTCTCCTGAAGACTTAGGACATGGAAAGCATGTGTACGTAGGAGGAAGTGTGTCAAACAGATTTTATTTTTAAAATCTGCTTATCTATAAATATAGTTGAGGAAAATAAATATTTGGACAACATTAGTGTGCTTGGATTGGGTTAAGAAGTACTTTACTTTCCTCTGCTATTTACTTAAGTCTCTGCTACGCATGTGGCTGGACGGACGGACCCACGTTGCAAGAATAAGGGCCCTGAAAGAAAAGCCCACGAGGTATGGCAGAGCAAACCGCGAGCTAGTTCCATGCTAATGGAAATGACTCTCGCTGTGGGGAAGCTCATTCAGCTCTCCCCGTTCAGATGCAGCGAGGAGCGTGCAAAAACGCGTTGGAGAGGACGATGACTTTGCACAGGCAGGACGGGAGTAAGTTCAGTCAATGTAACCGGGAGTTAATCAGAAACCGCTCCGGATGCTCTCACTAAGCTGATGCCCCCCCAGGAGCCAGCAAAGGCGACTTGGCTCTGCCAAAAGCAGCTCCCCACATTCGCTAACCGCCACAGGAACAGCCTCAATCATTAAACGAGCTCCTCTCAATCATTACCCGCCGCATCCCCTACCCTTTGCATCCTCTTCAAATCCTTGTAGGGCTTTCAGGTTGTACGCTTGCACGCCTGCCTTCTGCACCGCACGTTTAATTGAGAAGGAAAAGGACATCACAGCATGAAGCCGGGCTGCTCCCCACGGCACGCATACTCACACTCTTACAATGTCCACACAGCGCTTCAGCCGACACGCCTGGCAGTGCCGCCGGTTGTCCTTGGTGATTTTGCAGTCACCGTTGAACGGGCACGTGAACATCGCTTTCCTCTTCATGCTTCTCCTGGAGAGGAATGGAAAAAAATGTCTTGGGTCAAATCAACACCGCTCTGACTGTGCAAGAGGCTGCTCCAAACATCGGGAGCGGATGCAAGCACAAATCCAGCTCTCCGGACAGCAAACTGCTGGAGAGAGATTGCTAAGGAGATACTGGAAGCATCTCTGACCTCACTCTGTTCAGCTCAGCTGGTTGCTCGAGAACATTAAGTTGGAGGGGCTGTGCCTGGCTGGGTGCATCTACGGGTTTGATCTTAGAGGTCCGGCATTGCTGGCCAGCATGGAAAAGGACAACTTCGTACAAGGACACAGCCGAGGGGTTCAACCACAGGTTAAGCAGCTTTCTGGTTCTGAACGGGTATTTTGAAGGCCAAAAGAAGGGTAGAAGGATTGTAGAGAAAACCCCACCAGCAGCAAAAGAAACCAGAGTAGAGGCCGGCACATACCAAAGCAGCCCGTGTTATTAAACCTTTACCAGCCTTTAAAGCCTGGCTTTGCTAGAATAACTGGCTGGAGTGCATGTTTGTGTGTGCAGGAGAAAGAAATCTCACTGCAGGATACAAGAGAAACAACACTTAACATAATAACCCTCTCTTCCACCAAAACCACACCGTACCACGTTCATCTGCTGCTGCAATCGGGACTGTAAATCTTCCAAGTACAAAGGGTCAAAGCCAGAGCTCCCAGCAAAAACTCGCCTTTCTGTGGGGCCGTCCTGCGCGATATCCACTAAGGACACGTTACAGGCGTAGCTGAGCTGCTCTGTTGACGGTGGTTTCTCCCCTGTGCCGGGAGATGCTACGTCTTCGCTTTGGAGAAAGTTACTCAACGATCTGCCATCAGCAAGCAAAGCTTTTCCCTGGATTTGCAAGTATTTCTAAAGGTGCTGCTTGCTTTAAATGAAGATTTAAAGTGATTTTGAACGGAGGTAAACCAAGCCCAGGACACCTGCAGGCTGGAAAGTCAAAGCGAGGATGTTCAGAGGTAAATGCAGCAGAGAAGCAGAGCTGAGATGCAATTCAGGTACAGCAGCGAGAAATCTGCCACCAAGTTAATGCTGTGTTTCAGCACCGGCACGAAGAGTCTCCTGCTAGAAAGAGTCACTCCTCTAGCAATAAAATCCCTGCACGCAGCTGAGCTGATGGTGCACGACCCCCGTGCTGCACAGGCAAACAACGTGGAGGGAGCAAATGGGCGCCTGCAGGCTGAGAGGGCGATGGCGGAGGGGCCCCTCCATCCCAGGAACGGCGCCAGCCCTGCGCTTATAGGGTATAAATATAAAATACGTTCTCGGGCTGCAGACCCGGGCAGCACGTAGCATGCAATTAGAGGCTATTTCAGAAAGGGAGATGTAAACAAAGAGGCTTTACTCTCCCTTCACCTCACAGATGAATAAATGCATTTAGGAAAATTAATACAGGAGAGGCGGATGGCAGAGCCCTCCACAGCCCGCCTTGCACTGTTTCACCCAGCAGCTTGCTCTCAGTTTAATTGCTTTTCTCTGGGTTTTTCCCTTCCACCAAGACCAGCAGGACCTTTGCTCTCCCAGGAATGGGGACAAACGTTGTTCAGCTCAGGGGCAGGTCAGGATTTGGAACCGAACACCCCAAAATCTCCCAGTTTTGGTGAGCGACTCTGTTTTTGAGCACCTGGGGCAGGCAAGCAGCTCGTCTTTTCCCCTGCAGCCCAGGGCAAGGCTGGGGAATGCACAAACAAGCAAGAGAAACACAAGGCCCTCGGGCAGGGAGAGATGTCCTGTGTGCGAGGGCAAGCCAACATTATGGGTTTGGTATGAAAATTGCAGTTTATTTGAATGCAGGGTGGCTGGGCACAATAGAGGGTTTTTCTAAGCGGCCGCTTCTCTGCCCCAAGGGTCTAGAGCTCTGGGCTACGAGGAGCCCCAAGTTCCACCAGCAGTGCAGAGGAGTGGCTGTGCACCCCACAGCAGGACCTCACGCCATCCGGCTCCGGTGTATTTTTACAAAGCTCCACAACTAGCCATTTCAAGACTCATTTAAGATCCATGTCCCAGGCAGGCTGCCGAAAGTTTAAAAATAAACGCGATCCCTCCCTGCGCAAACCCAGCCCACGGGTGAGAGCAAAGAGGGCGGCAGCCCACAGCAGGGGAAGCTGAGGTTTGCCACGCAGGGAGCGATGAGCTCCGAGGCTGCGGGGCTGTACCTGACGGTGGCCGGGGAAAGAGGGGTGGCATTCCCATGCGCGCTCTCCAACGTGACCGCCAGCTGCGTGCAAACGCAGCGCTGCAAAGGACGGGCTGCGCGCATGGAGGGGCAGCATGCGTCGGTCGCAGCGTGCCCATCTCATGGGGGCAGGGGGAGTCCAGCTGGTTTTATCTTGCCCAACAGATCCTGTTCCCAACGGAGAGCGCTCCGGCCACCATGAGGACTGCAATTTGCCCAGCTCCAGCTCCACAAGCCGGGAACCCCGGTCATTAACCACCCCCCCGACTGCAGCAGCTGAACTCCACCCTCGGTCGTTGGTAGACACGTGCCCGACGGTCCTACCTAGCACACCGGGGAGAGCGCGAACCCCAGTGCCTCTATAAAAGGGTTTTTAGGGTATCAGAAATGTTAGGTTACATACAAACCAGATGGTGGACAGCAGCCCTGACAGCCCCCACCAGAAGGAGGGCAAAGCCCAGACCAGCTCCGTGTCGTGCGGCAGGTACGAGCGCTGTGCTGCGTCCTTCCCCTTTACAGACAGGGCTGATCTTCACAGTAACTCTTTCTGAGTTTTTTATTAGCAAAATGGGCTTTTGATACACACAACTCACATTTGCAGAACCTGTGAAATTCTGTTTCCTGAAAGCTACCCTACTCATAACCAAACCCCGCAGTGGCCTTCCTGGCACGGCCTTTGTCACCCACCGCATGGCTAATACATGTGAGGAGTCATTTTGGCACCAAGGCTGCAGCAGAACCACCTCACACAGCCATCGCAAACCGTTTGGGGTAGGACAATCCCCCTTTTCTGCCCCAGTACACCTACACAGCCCTTCAGGAAAGCCCCTTGGTACACCAACAGCCAAGTCAATGCCAGGAGCAGAGCTGCAGCAATCTGGCGCCTGTTTTGCATTCATTTGCATTTTCTCCCCCAAATCCTACCAGCTCCATCCTCCACTTCTGACCCCAGGGACCCTCCGCAGACAACTGCGCCTTGCCCTGAAATATCTTTAGGGACCTCTGGGGAAGGAGGAAGAGGGGATGGATTTATTTCAAAAGTTTCACGTAGAACATGGCAAAGAACTGGGGAGGATTACAGGAGCAGGAGCTGCAGCGATGCTGACAGGATGGGTGGGGAGTTCATAGGTTTTGAAATAGCCGAGCTGCTTGGAAAGGCTCTGGGTATTAACACCCAGCATCAATGCACCTGGGAAAAACTAGGACTGCAGAAGAAACCAGAGAAACCGTGGATGCTTCAGCCAGGTCACAGCAGAATAAATCACTCGGGCTTAGCTGCTTTTTAAGAGCTCCGGAGCAAACAGCAGAGCTCAATAAAAGTCTGCTGTTGCCATTGGCAGCATTAGTAAACAGCAGACTTTGAAGCAAGCAGCCAAATGTTGCCTCACGCCTGTTTGTGCTGCAGGTTACATGCATGTCTGAGCACCCAGAGGTGCCAGTAAATTCCTAATGCCTTTTATAGAGCCATTAAACCCAGGACCTCCTGGGGGACTTCACACCAGGGAATCATGTCCCGCAGGTACATGCCCAAGGCAGGTGAGATGCACCAGGAAGTTCTGCAGCCGTTCTGCAGCCACACCAGCGAGCCAAGGCTCAGGCTGCGTTTTGCTGCATCCCTCTGCGACAGTGTGCAAGGCTGCGGAGGAGCCCAAGTCATGCCTGCAGCCTGAGTGCACTCCAAAAAAGCTGTGAAACCCTCCCAAGGTTTTGCTGCTGCAGTTCGATATTCACAGCCACTTGCTCTCTCCTAGCCCCTAGCTCCTAGCTAGCCAAGGCTGCGAGTCTGACCTCCCAGGTAAGTGCCATCAGCCACCAGAAATTGATACCAGCACAGTGATTTTTTTCAAAGACCTGCTCAGGGAGTGCAAGCTGAAAGTTGAAAAATGGCAAGTGCACACAAGCACAGCCTGTTATAAAACCCAAGGTGCTGGCAAAAGGACGCATAGCATTTCTAGGAGAGTTTTAGGGGTCTAGGCTCCTCTATGGCAGTGCTACTATATTTTAATGCACAAAGCTCTAAGCTGTGGCAGCAGCAAGCGTTAATTAATTCAGTGATTGAAAATGGCATGTAAACGAGCTTGTGTAGCAAGACAGAACACACCGAGACCTAGCATGGGGAGAACGTGCCTGGAAAGCAAGATTAAAACAGTAGTAAGAGCCTTAAATTGAAAAGAAAGGCTTTATATGGGGCATGAAGGGCTAGCTGAAGATGAGAGCTTTTCACATCATTAAGATGTCTGTTCAGAAATACTGTCACAGTTGTATGTCTTGCATGATTACAATGGTGTGACAACAGAGATGGGGAAATGCAGCAGCAGGGCTCACAACATTAACGCAAGAGCGACATCGCCCACATCACACCCAGGAAGGGTTTGTCAAGCAGCAGTGGCCATTTCACAGGTCAAAAGCCAGACCATTGCCTCTGTGGCCACAACGGGGATGGGGAAGGTCAGGGACACCAGACCAGAGCATGGAGGAGAGCACCTGAAAGGAGAGTTACTCATTTAGCAGCAGTAATTGAGGAAAATGTTGTTGCTCAGGTTGGCCGGGCTTCGAAGTCGCCCTGTTAACAAAAACAGACTGCAAGACTGTGGTATGTGAAAACCCCCATCTAGCCCTGAAATTCTTGCAAGAGGAGGAGTTATGACTTTGCTGTGAAAGTTCAAGCTCTGGTTGCTGTAACAGCCCAGCTCAAGGTGTAAAGCTGTGCGCTCTGGTCTTTGCAATACCACAGCCACCTGTGCCACCATCTCATTACAGTGCAAAATACTTGAGCAAGGCTTTTTCCTAGCCAATCCCACGCCAGTCATTATCTTGCTTCGTTTCGCCAGTGCTTAGTCATTCTCTCAGTTGGTGCAAGCGATCTGAACTCCCACGTGAATGGTTCTGCACCATCTGCATGGGAGCATCGCCTCGGCAGATGCAGGGGTAAAACCGAGCGGCTAACAAATACCCACAGACCTGCAGCTCTCCAGACGTGGAGACCCCAGCAGCTTTCAGAAATGTTTCTGCCTTGCTGAGGATCAGCTTGAGACCACTCAAGACCCCCACCTGACAGTGGGGAAAAAAGCCTCAGAACAGCTGCCTATGCAGCCCACAGCCACTTTAAACCCCCTGAGAGCCCGAGCTGTGAGTGAAAGACTGCCTGATTTTGGAAGGAGCTTGGTGCCCACTCCAGCAGGTGGGCAGAGGACCCCATGCATCTCCACAAGCAAGTGTGCAGCGCTTCAGAGCAGACCTTAGAGGCAGACTGCTTTAAAGAAAAAAAGTTTGCAGCCATCATACCAGTTTAGTTTTCAAAGACTGCTAGTTTCGGGTGTATTTTCCCAGGTGCCATCCATAGTGTGCTGGAGGCTCTTTCACTCCTGCCTACACAGCACATGGACACCTGCAAGGCTCCCAGACTGATGGAAATCTCTGGCTAAGGGGAAAACAACCTACGTCCCAGTAGCAGGGTGCCACAGTAAGGCACCAGAAGGGAAACCGTTTGTGATGTCTCCATCATCAAGATTTGCAGGCGTGTCAGACATCTGCAATGCAGGCACAGGTCTGGCAAAGCTGTCTGCAGCCCAGCCCTGTAGAGCATCAGGCTGCCTGATCCTTAAGGCTTGCTGGTTATGGAGTAAGATTCCTCCCTCTCACCTGAAGAAGCCCTTACAGCCTTCGCAGGTCATGGCGTTGAAGTGGAAACCAGTGGCTCTGTCCCCACAGACGCCACAGATACGGGGCACGTTCCTGTCAAACTCGCTGGCTGGGTCAGGAAGCGATGTGCTAGCAGCCATGGGCTCCATATCTGGGAGAGCAGAGAAAGCCAGGTATTATTTTGTAAAGCTGTCACAGCTATACAAAAAGCAAATTAGATGCAAATAAAGGATTTTTCCTTGGCTTCAACACAATCTGGCAAGAAAAGCTTCTGTGCTCCCTCTGGCTCCATGCACTAATGCCACCGAAGAGGAGGTTCTGGCTAGCATTTAGTATGTGTACACATCTACTCAGCTAGCCAGTAAAGCCAGGACTGATCCCCCCTTCTCACACCCCCAGCCTTAACTGCCCTGCAGAGCATGCTGATGGCAGTTTGCTGTGCATCAGTGAGAACTCCTATAGCCCACCCCAAACCCAGATCATTTTTCCCCCGCCTCCTTTGCTTTTGTTTTCAGAAAGCCTTGAAGGGACCAGAATTCACCCAGATCGATGCTGCAAAACCACAGGGAAAAACCGCCCGTACGCTGGCGCAGAATTTCCCTTGTGCACAGACAGGAAGCGGCACCGGCACACTCATGCCAGCTCCCGTAAGTGAGAAAAATCCCAAACGCGAGTCAAGTGAACATTGTTTTAAAAAAATCCTCAACGGGGACATAAACAAGGGAGGGAGGAAATAGTGCTCCTAACGCAGATCGCTGAAATGAATATTAAAATGGAGCTTTTAATAGACTTCCCCCGGCTTACAACATCCACTGGTAGCAGTCCGTCTCCTATTAGAAAGGGCAAGTATCTAAAAGCACTGGGGAGATAAAGGTTAGAAGTTTTCACGGTGCCAGCTCTTGGTAAAGACCACCCCAAGGCTGCGGTTTCGGCGGCACCATCCCCTTGCTCGGCACATAAGCTGCGTTTGCAGCTCAGCGGAGCCCGGGAGCTCTCGGGAGCTCCCGTGCCTCAGTTTCCCTGTTCACAGGACAGGCTTACCCCTTTGCGCATCTCAGCATGAGAAATTTTAAGTTGATTCAAGAGCTTCAAACGAGCTTTTTTTTGTTTAAGTATGGCTAAATGTTTTCTCAAGAGGCGCTGCCGATAGCTGCTGCCTAGCTGCATCTTGTCTGCTTTTGAGAGGCTTTTAGCTGCTGCTGGAATTGTCCTGTGTGAAATACTCTTTATCAGCCACTCGGCTGACTCCAGACAGTGAGTCTGGAACAAAAATGAGTTCAGAAGGAAGCAAGAGAACAACCCTACAATTTAAGTCTCGCTAAGTCTACCAGACTGCTATTGCTTGATCCCAGTAAAGCCTGGGCTCCGCCTGAGCCCCTGCCAGGGGAGAGCAGCTCTGCAGCGCTCGCACACAAAGCCCAGAGGCCCTGCGGCCGGCAAGCGGCGTCCCCGCAGAACGTGGGGAGGCACAGCTCCTAAAGCAGCTCCGGGAGCTTGGAGCTTTCTCCCATCGTGGTTTCACCTGTACCTCACCTGGAACTTGGCACAGTCAGCAGCCCCAGCACCCCTAGACGGGAGTCCCACTCACCCACGCTGTTTGAAGAAAGCTCCCAGGGAAAGACAGGCACAACCCCAAAGAGAACATCCTCCGTGCAGGGGAGCATGGTGGTTTACCTGTATCTGGAAGATATGCCACGCTCTGCCGGTGCATTTCCCAGGAGCTCTGGAGTCGGGACATGGAGCCTGCAATTAAAAAGGCAGACGGGACACGGTCCGAGACAGCTCAAACCTTATCGAGGTCGATGAGTCAAAGGAGAGCGTCTGACTGCACGCCCTGGTCACAGCTCCAGCCCCTTGGCGAGACCTGAGCACTGTGCCCGGGCTGGGGTGATCTCAAAATAGCCTGCCAGCTCAGGTCCCACTTGTCTGGTTCCCACGCCGCCCCCTCAGCGCGGATCCGGGAGATATCGCGGTGCCCCAGCCACCCTCCGCGTGCCGGCAGGTTGCTACGGGAGCCGGAGGAACGCACCAGCAAACACAGCAGCCACCCTTGGTGAGAGCAAGGGCACAGGAAGGAAAGAAGACAGTGAGAGGTGCTCAGCTCAGTCCTTTAACCTCAGTAATATTTTCCTATAAATTTAAATTTCACAGTTCAGCCTGTCAAGCATGCAGCAGCATGAGGCTTGCATGGGATGGCATAAAGCAGAGCTGACTGGCTGCTGTAAACGCGGGTCCTCATTCAACAGAGCATGCATCCTCAAAGTCAATGGGATCGCTGCAGCGCTGAGTACATGGAGGTTTTTTCCTCCCTTCTCACGTCATTTTGTTCTTTCAGCAGTTCTGCTCACGGGTGGGAAGCACCACACTGGCATCAGGCTAACACGGTGTTGGGACAGAGCTAGGACAAGGTTTTATTAAGGTGCTTTGCCTTCCTTGGGATTCTCCTCGAGGCCCGGCTAACCTGTATTAGCAACAGGCTGCTGGATTGGCTTGTGCCCATGGGTCACCCCGCTGTTCAACACAAACGCCCAGCCCTAAGCGATGCAGGTGTCACAATATAGGGCCAAAGCAAGAAGAGCTGTGGATGCAAACCACGTTCCACGGCCAGTCAGCTCACAAAACGTGCCTCCAGCTGCAGGGTTTATTTATCCCCAAGTGCTGCGCGGCAGGACAGTGCTGCAGCTACCACCGAGGGTCACGTCAGAGGCGAACGGCCACGAGCACTTGGGGACCACCCCCTGGGAAAGCAGCTCACAGTGGAGCTTCTGGATCCAGGAGGAGCCCAAGACACACACGTGCTTGGCAGAAACCTGCCCAGGCCAGCACCCTGCCAAGCATCCACCTCCATCCCACCAGGTTTCGAGGTCTGCAGGGGGAAGTAGGGCACAGACAGCCCTGAGCAGGCTCGCCTTCCCGAAGGGCTGGATTCCAGGAGTGCTGACAGCCGTTGCGTACGGGGCCGTGGCAAAACACCCGCTGAGCGCCCAGACTGGAAGCTGCTCCATTGGTCATGCAGGGCATCTCCCTATTAAGCAGCAGGGCCGCTTTTGGATGAAGACCCTTGTGAGACCTCAGCAAACCTTCTCCCTGCCATAGACATCCTGATGCACCGTTTAATACTTCTCCAGTGCTTTGTGGTGCTCCGTGCTCTACCACACCTTCCCAGGACCATGCATGAGGACGCCAACACCTCCAGCATCACAAGGCAGGATGGGGAAAGCAGGTGCTGATGGCAACCAGTCAACCTAGGAGGGACCTCTCCCCACCCTCATCATGCCTCTTGCTTTTTCCAGCTCTCAGTTAAAAAAAGCAAGAGGTGATTTGGTCACTAATGTTCATTACAAGGTAGTAAGTCTGTGCCAGATGCAATTCCCACATGGATGATGGTGCTGCTTCAATCTACCATTTCTGACTTCTTGGAAAACGTTACTCAGCCCCATAATGGAAGTGACGTCAGTGCACAGGGCAGAGCATGCACGGGAGTTTCCCTCCACCCCCATGAAAGGTCGCTCATTCATCAGACCTGACATTTAGCCTTCACCTCTTGGAAGAAGCAAAATAATTGTTAGAAGCACTGACCTCTTTTGAGCAGGCACCAGAAAGGTCAAACCAGTTTTGTAGCTGGTTAGAGCAAAGTTGCAGCAACCCAGTTGTTGTCCCAGTGAAGTCCCAGGGTTGGCTCTGAGCAGCCGTGCTTTGCTAAATCTAAGGTTTCCCGTCACCTCATTCCCAAGGCACCAAATCCATGCATAGATCAGGAAATTTCAGCTTTCAGATGATCCTTTTTTTGGGTTTGTACGGAGCTGTCACAGCAGCAAAACTCAAACAGCTACAGGGTGTTGGCAGAGAAGGCTGCACGACTGAGATTAGCAACCAGAGCTCTCCGCTGGGATGCGGCCAGATGAAGCAGCAGAGAAGCCACCACGGTCAAGGTTTAAAGACGTGGGAAAAGCTCACCTGGAGGAGACGCCGAGAGGGACGAACAGCACAAATAAGCGAGCTGACTGCTGTGCAAAGGGCTGCAGCAGGTAGCTCGGCTCCAGCCTCCCTGCCAGCAGCTGTTATTTAGGCCTGGACTGGGATAGATCCCTTGCACCTGGGAAGCTGGGAGCATGCGGCAGGGCAGAGGCAGGAGCTGGCTCCCCCTGTGCACCCATCCCTGCCTTACCCAGAGGAGCGACTCACTTCTGACCATGGGTGCCAGGAAGACGCAGGCCGAGGTGGTGCCATGCTCCCCCCTCAGTACATCCCTGCGGCACAGCCAGCCTGTCTCCCACCGGCATGCGACGGACCGGTGATGCAGCCCCTGCACACGCACAGCCTCCATCACTGCAACTGGCGGAGTCATCAACCCCAAGCAGGAAACATCTCCAGCTTTGGCCTCCAGCCCTGCCTGACTAACCAGAGCCTTGCAGATGCGGAGCGGGGGCAGGCGCCAGCTTCCCAAGGCAGGTGGTGATGGCGAAGCATGGACGGAGCCGCACACCGCTGGCCGAGAGCCCTGCGCAAGCAGCGGTTCAACAGCTGCACTCAGGGAAAGCAGCACACAGTCAGGACACTGGAACACATCTGTTAGAAGCAGCACAACTGTACAAAGGGGAGAGCATCCTCGAGGGGGCTGCCATTCCCCAAACATAGCCCAGCTTAAAGGAAACTGGGCAAATCATCCCAAAAATTAGTGTAACAGCCATTGAAGCCACAGCCCAGTGACCATGGCTGGCTGCGTGAGCGCTGGGACCCCGGTGGGGGTGCAGGAGGGGCACCTGGGGAAGAATCAAGAGCATGGGAAGTTACCTGCTCATACGGGAAAATGGGCACGGTGTCTGCTCTTCTTCCTCCTTTACACTGAGCCCAAAGGAGGATCCTTCACTTTTGGGGCTGTATTTATTTCTAAGTACCCTCAATAACCACTCAGAGGCTGGTAGGAAGTCTTTTGAAGTCTTTTCTCATGCTTTATCACTTTCCTTTTTCTCTCACCAACTTGCAAAACTCACTCACAGCTTATCAGGACTTGGCAGAAGGGAAAAAGTTTTGGAGGATGACTGCTGCTGAAAGCCTTAGTCACCCACATTTGGTGTCTGCACAGTGGCAGGCTTCCCTCCCAGCATCACAGCACCGAAATGCCTCCTTCCAACAGGACATTACTCCACCAACCACAGCAACAGCCGGGGCTGGGAATAACACACCAGCCAAGACAAAAACAGAGCTGGAGGCCAACGCATAAACCCCAGTGTGGGAGACTGGCTGTGGGGCTGCTGCTCAGGTATCAGCTGGGCTTCGGATACCCCACACTTTCCCGATGAGCAAAGCCAGAAATAAATACATTTTAACATGAAAACCCAGTGTAAGAAATACCGAGAGGCAAGATGGGGGCTTTGGCCAAGCACGCAAGGATATGAGTTTGTATTCAGCCAGCTGCTCCCCAGGAGGTTCAGACTTTGCTGAAATTTGGGGGAGAAACCAAGCCAGTTCAGCTGTTCCTTAACATTCCCAGAAAACAAGAGTGACATTTCATTAAAGAGGCTTTGAAGTCTTTGGAGTTTTGAGACTAACATTTTCAGGATGCAGAAAATAAACTATTACAATACTGTGAAATTATTTGTCACGTTCTCAGTATCTTTGTTGCTCCATCAAAATGCATTTTTTGGTTAACTTATTTGCCAAGCAAACCAAAAATCTTTACCCACATGGCCTGAAAGGAACAGCCTGGTTTCTGAAGTTTAAGTAAATCCTGACCCCGGCACTGCTCTGACTTGCTACTGAAGACTTTGCTAAGTCTTGGAGAGACCCATTCATTTACATGGAGCTTTTACTATTTTCCTGGCTCACACTCAGTTAACACCACTGTTGACATGTCAAAACAAAATGGTGCTCCACAGAGTCTCTGCAGAGCCTCTGGCAACTTGCTTGCATTTTAAGAAGCTTTTCCCAGTACAAATCAGCCTATTCATAACATCTAGTTGCAACATGCAAGCAACCCCTTTCTCTGTTAAGGCAGACAATTAAATAATTTCCTTCTGCAGCTCCAGGGAGCCCTCTTATTTAGCTGCTTTCCATAAGATTTATTAGACAGCAGATTGACAGCTTCCCAGGGAGATGAAGCACTGCTCCCACGAGCCCAGCACCAGCCCATGCGTGGATGGTAGCTCTACATCTTGCACGTGGAGGGGTGTAGCAGGTGAAGGTCCCTGTGCTGCCGCATGGTTGGATCCCTCTTGCCACCACTAACCTCCCCTCCATTTCTAGGTTGGAAGAACTTTTTTTTTTTTTTTTGCAAGACCCAGAGCGGCTGCAACCTCCTGGGAGCTGGGCAAGGAGATCTGGCAAGCCTTCCAGTGTCATGAGACTGGCAGCTATTTATTACCTGATGCAAGTCAGCTCATGCCACCCCTTCCTCCATTAATTTGATTAGATGTAAAACCCTTCTGGAGCCTCTGCTAACGCCCCCAGATGAAGGCTGGAGGCTCCACCATGCCAGGCAACACATAAGCATGACAATTCCTACCCCGGAGAGTCCAGACACTCCCCGTCTGCAAACAACATGTCATTGCAATGAAGCATTCAGAGGAGGGTCCAGCGGCGTGACAAGAGAAGCGGCTACAAATACTAGTTTCAAGAAGGTCAGAAAGACTCTAAAAAATCCCTCCCTAAGGAACAGGATGCTAATCTCATTCCTTGTGAGGAATCAGGCGCTTATGGGCTCCCTAAACGCTTTGTGGTATGGAAGTGAGCAAGCCT